TGTCAGGCAGCTGTGGAGGCGAAGGTTACATTCCTGATCCTGCAGCGCTTATCATCTATTGGACAGAAATAATCAGCCTACACACACAAGCTCGGAAGGGCACAGTTGAGGGTAATAAAGGACAAGCTTTGCTGTTTGTGATTAGATGATAACAGAACTCCATGACAAGTACAGCTTCTTACAGATAGAAGGCAGCGAGAGAACATTTCCATTTTAAATGTGCTATCTGGGCCAGCAAGATAGCTCAGTAGGTAAAGCCTGACCACCTGCATTTGATCCCCAGAACCCCCATGGTGGAAAGAGAGAACTAATTCCTCCACACGTATGCCTGTTATGCACCTCCCACACACTAAAACAACATGCAAATAAGTGTAATAAAAATTTTTTTAAAGAAATAATGGGGACTGGAGAGATAGCTCAGCAGTTAAGAGCACTTACTGCTCTTGCAAGAGGATTCAGATTCTCTTCCCAGCCCCCACATAGTGGCTTACAATGGCCTGTTCCATAGCATCCAGGACTCTCTCTGGCCTCTGAGGGCACCCACACACATGTGGTGCCCATACGTACACGGAGGCAAAGCACTCTTGCATATAACATTTTATTTTTATTTTTTTAATAATTAAAAAAATTATTTTTTTATGTGTATGTGTGTGTTGCCTGCATGTAGGTAAGTGCACCTATGTCATGCAATGCCCATCGGGGACAGAAGAGGCTGTCGGGTCCCCTGGAACTGGAGTTATGGACAGTTGTTAGCTGCCCTGTGCGTGCTGGGATTTGAACCCAGGTCTTCTGCAAGAACACTCAGTGTTCTTAACTGCTGAGCCATCTCTCCAGCCCCACATATAACATTTTAAAAATGTATTTTTTTTTAAAGCCCGGCATGGTGGCTCATGCCTTTAATCCCAGCACTCAGAGGCAGAGGTAGGCAGATCTCTGTTGAGATTGATGCTAGCCTGGTCTACATAGTGAATTCCAGACCAGTCGGGGCTACAGGGAGACCCTGTCTCAAACAAACAAACAAACATTTAGACTTCAGGCTGGAGAGATGGCTCAGCAGTTAAGAGCACTGGCTGTTCTTGCAAAGGACCCACGATCAGTTCCCAGCACCCACATGTCAGCTCACAACCCACAACCAGCTATTACTCTATTTCTAGGGGATCCAACACACTCTTCTGGCCTCCTCAGTGGAGGTCACTTACGTGCAGGTAAAAACACATAAAATAAAAATTAATTAAAAAATAAACTTTAAAATGTTTTAAGAAATAAGAAATGAATGAATAGGTCATTGAAGACCAACATGAAGTAATAAACCAAGGAGATAATGAATGCCTTTGAGGAAAATTACTTGGAAATATGATATCGAATCTTATATGGGGCTGTGAATGTAGCTCAGTGGTAGCGCGGTTGCCTAGCGTGCACAAGTCCATGGCATCCATCCCCAATGCTGTACAAAAAGGTCCTCTCTGACTGTGTTGTCTTTGGTTTGAGACCTGAATGAGATGATGGAGAAAGCTATGTGGAGCCTCCTCCAAAGAGTAGTAACAGTAAGTGCAGAGACGGTACAACCAGATCAGCCTTGGCATGTTCAAGGAACAGAAAACAGAAGGCACTGTAGCCAGAGCAGAAGGAACCAAACGGGAGGGGCAGGTCTACCACAGACCCGTGACGCAAGACGCCATGCAAGAGCTTTGAATACTGCCGATGCCTGGCACCCGTACTCTTAGGGTTCTGTTCCACTGGTTGGAGGTGTAACCTGGGCACCAGCAGTAAATTTCCCAGATGGTTTCAATGCCCAAACAAGGCTGTGAACCACAGACAAGAGACCTTGAAGGCCATAGCTGGGTACTTGGATCAGTTCCTGAGCAGACTAGAAGGCATTTTCCTAGTACTCCTGACCCAGATCCAGAAAGAATTCATTGTTAAGAGGCTTTGAAGGTTGAGATGGAGCTAATAAAATGAAATAATTCAGCCAGACATGGTGGCGCATGCCTTTGATTCCAGAACTCAGGAGGCAGAAGCAAGTGGATTCTCTGAGTTCCAGGACAGCCTAGTTTACATAGCAAGATCTAGGACAGCCAGGACTACACAGTAAGACCCCGTCTTAAAGTAAACAAACAAACAAACAACCCAAAGGCAAAGAGCATTTACAAAAAGGTCAAGAGAAGCAGGAATATTCATAAAACCAGAACAAAACAGACAAGAGTGACTGGGCATACTATCACACACCTGTGACCTTAGCATTCAGGAGGCTGCGGTGACAGGATCTCAACTTTGAGGTAACCTGGACTACACACCAAGTTCCCAAGGCTATATAGTGAGACCCTGTCTCCACAAAACCAATTTACAACAAACCGGACCAATACAGATCTCACACACCAAAGACAGGGAGATAGGCCAGTGTGTGTGTTAGTTTCCTATGGCTGCTATAACAAAATTACTGCAAATTTAATGTCTTCAAACAATGCAAGTTTACTGTCTTATAATGTTGTAGTTCACACCTCAGGAAAGGGTCTTCCTTGTGTAAAATCAAGATGTCAGCAGGACATGGTTCCTCCTGAAGGCTCTAGCGGATAATCCGCTCATGTGGCAGTGCGGCTTCTTGAGGTAGTCCACTCCCTTGCGTCACTACTCCCTTCCTCCATTGCCAGAGCCATCAATGCCAAGCCAAGAACTCTGGTGGCGCAAGTTCCCTGGCTCACCATCTCTGCTCCCACCCTCCACTCTCGAGAACCATTGGGACTAAACTGAACTCACCTGGGTCCTCCAGCATAGGCTTAAGTAGTTTTAAGTCTCAATAGCTTTAAGCCCAAATAATCATCAAATTAATTAACTGAATTAATTCTCCATTTCCAAGAAAGGTAGCATATTTGGTTTCTAGGGATTAGGATGAAGCGTTTTGTGTGGTAGGGCAACCGTCTCCCCAACATGCTGAAGAAGTTGAGGCTGGAGAGATGGCTCAGAGGTAAAGAGCACTTCCGGCTCTTCCAGAGGATCTGGGTCTGGTTCCCAGCTCCAGGGGATTCATTACCTTCTTATGGACTCTGCAGGCACTCTCACTATGGCATATACACACATGGACATAAATAAAAATAAAATAGAGGGGCTGGAGAGATGGCTCAGCAGCTAAGAGCACTGACTGCTCTTGCAGAATCCCTGGGTTTGGTTCCCAGCAAACAAGGCAGTTAACAACTGTCCATAATTCCAGTTCCAGGGGACCTGACACCCTCTTCTGACCTCTATGGGCATTGCATGACACAGGTGCACTTAATGTACATGCATGCAATACACTCATACACATAAAAATAATAAAATAGAAGTGCCTCTTTTAAAAGGTAGGTTTAGATTATACTGGATCTTTTAAAAAATGTGGGTGTAGATGTTTTTTGAGATAGACTTTTACTCTATCATTCAGGCTGGTCCGGGACTCACTGTGTCACCCAGAATGGCCCGGAACTCCTGGCAGTCCTCCTGCCTCATCCTCCCAAGTGCTGGAATTACAGGCATGCACCATCATATCCAGCCTCATATTGGTAGTTTTTGCTTGAATTTTATCTGTGTGTTTTGGCATGGAGCTGGGAGACTTGTTCTAAGACAAACATGTATGTTTTTGTTGGTATAGGTTTGTTATCATGGTCTAGCTGAATACTTCTCTAATAAGTGTGAGGGGAAGAAAAAGGGCTGCCTGCAGGGGGTGCCTAACAAAGTGCTGCTGCTGTCTAAAGACTCTGTTTTGTTATTATTGTTACTAATGACCGGTGCTCCCTGCATGTTTTGGTTGAGTATGTCCATCTGTCTGTAAACAATCTGGGTGTTCAGACTCATGACAGCCAGTGTTATGAGACCTACTGAAATGCATTTGTGATGTTTGCATTGTATGAGTGTACCTATAGTTTTGTGCACACTAGCCTTTGGGCATCAGTGAGCATGTACACATGTGATGTGTGTGTGTGATCACAGGAGAGACACAGGGAGGCAAACAAATTCACAACCCCCTCCAAAATATGGCCTCTGCAGGCACCCACACATGTGGCATATGCACACATGCACATAAATAAGAATAAAATAGAGGGGTTGGAGAGATGGCTCAGTGGGTTAAGAGCTCTTGCAGAGGCCCTAGGTTGGGTTCCCAGCACCCACATGGCAGCTAACAACCATCCTTAACTCCAGTTCCAGAGGACTGGACAACCAGGCAGAAAGGACTGGAAGGAGGAAACCGAGGCACTGGGGATAGGAGGTAAGAAGGAGGAAGAGAGGAGAGGAGGGAGGAGAGAGGATGGGGGCGGGGGAGACTGAGTGACCAGGATGACAGAAGAGGAGATAAGGGAAGATCAGAAAGGAAAGCAAAAGGGAATTTCAGGGTCTGAAATCTAAACAACAACAACATAAATAGTTGGGCATGGTGGCACTTGTCTTTAGTCTCAGCAGTCAGAGGGCAGAAGCAGGTGGATCTCTGTGATTCCAGGCAGCCACGGGTTCATAGTGAGACCCTGTCTCAGAACAAACAAACAACAAACAAACAAACAGCAGGGGTGAGTCACTGCAGGAGCACTCAGACCTGACATGGTCCACTTCTGGTGTTTCCTTGATGTCTGACAGGCAGATCCAGGTTTTTGGGCCCCAGAGAACTGAGGTAGTTGAAATAGGTAACCCTCAGGTATGTTCCAAAGAAAGGGAGAGCAGGGAAAATGAAAACACAAAGGGAAAAGGGACTAGAAGGAGAGAGAAGAAACTGGGTTGGGGGAGCCCGACCCTGAGAGGCAGGACTGTGGGAGGTTTTTGGGCCCCAGAGAACTGAGGTAGTTGAAATAGGTAACCCTCAGGTACGTTCCAAAGAAAGGGAGAGCAGGGAAAACGAAAACACAAAGGGAAAAGGGACTAGAAGGAGAGAGAAGAAACTGGGTGGGGGGAGCCCGACCCTGAGAGGCAGGACTGTGGGAGTCTGATCTTAAAGCCTGCGGTCCTGCGGCCCTTAATAGGTAAGACAGGAAGGTGGAAGGCAGAGAGGCGGCAAGAGTGACAGCCGCACGCCAACACTCAGAGACCTGCCAAAGCCACACAGTCCAGGATCCAAGCTTCCGGGCCCCCAGCCCCCAGATGTAGGCGTGTCAGCCACCTGGGATGACTCATGCCCTGGCGATGTGGGCACCCATGCCAAGAGCGAGCCCAGGCACCCTGCCCACTGGCGGGCACACCACAGGCCAACGGGGAGTTCGTGCTCTCCAGGGGGTCACCGGGCTATGACCCCCAATGTTGCCACCTTGCCTGCAGAGCGCTCCCTGGCGCCCACCTCCGAGGTCCGCGGACGCAGGTGTCCTCTTCCCATCCTCCTCCCCCAAACCTTACTGGGGAAGCGGGAGAACCAGACGAGGCATTGCGCAAGGCCTGCTGTTTACCTCCTGCACCGGCCTCCTCCCTCCCTATAAAACCTGACTCGGTGGGGAGACGCGCTGAGACGCATCTGGGAAAGCCAAGGCAACCCGGAGAGGGGCAGACCCGAGGCGCGAAGTGAATGCGGGAGGCACAGCCAGGGGCGTCGAGTCACCTCGCAGCGGAGGCAGACGGCCACCTGCGCGCACGGAGGCGGCAGCGACGGTCCAGGACCAGGGTGCGCCCCGACCCCGGCTTCCCATGGAGGCTCCAGAGCTGGGCCCGGGGCTGGTGGAGCGTCTGGAGCAGCTGGCGACGTGTCCGCTGTGCGGGGGTCCCTTCGAGGACCCGGTGCTGCTGGCCTGCGAGCACAGCTTCTGCCGCGCGTGCCTGGCGCGATGCTGGGGGACCCCAACGGCGCGCGGCGCGGAGGCGGCGACCCCCGCCTGCCCCTGCTGCGGCCGGCCGTGCCCCCGCCGCAGCCTGAGGTCCAATGTGCGGCTGGCGGTGGAGGTGCGCATCAGCCGCGGGTTGTGTGAGAAGCTGGCTGAGTCCGGGGCCCGCGCGGGGAGGCGCCGCGGGGGCCGCATCCCCACCATGGGTTGCTTGGATCCTCAGGGAGAGGTGAGCAGGTCGCTTTCAAGGGTCCTGGCTAAGGGCGAAGGGAAGGTTCGTGGGTTCCCTGGGGAAGGTGGCGAGGTTCTTTGTCGAAGCCTTGATGGACATGTAGGTAAGGGTGGGGGGAGGAGAAGAAGAAAGAGGAACGCAGGACGAGGAGGAGGAGGAGGAGAAAGAGGACGAGGACGAGGACGAGGAGACAGCAGGAGGCTTCTTGCAACTTCAAGTCAGAGTGGTACACAGAGCGAGTTCCAGGCCAGCAATGGTTACTTGGGAGAGGAAGAGAGGGAGAGAGAGAGAGAGAAGGGGAAGGGGGGGCAGAGAGAGCAAACACACACCAAGTCATCAGGTGAGGAGTTTGAGGAAGGAAGGAAAAGGAAAGGAAGGGAGGAGGGGAGGGAGTTGACATTTGGTCCAGGGAGAAGGAGGCTGAACAAGTGCCTGTTTCTGGAGAGCTGAGCTGGAGAGAAGAGGTTACAGAGGCAGACACAGGCTGGGTGGTAGATAGATCGAGCAGGCCCCTGGAGATCTCAGGAGCACAAGGATTATGGCAAAGAGCACCGAAATTACCGCAGGCCGGTCACAAGGCATCCAGGAGAGGCGCGGGGAAACCCGCGCACAAGAAAGGGCGCAAGGGTGAGCTGGGGACCTGGGAAGGTGGGACAGGACTGAAGGAACAGAGGGCTGCGGGAGCCCAGGCTGGGACAGCGAGCAGAAAAAGCTGGAGTGGTTGAGCCGGAAAGTAGCAAATGGGGGTGGGAAGAAGGGAGCACAGATCCAAACACCCCTGTTGCGGCAGGGGCTCCCCGGACTCAGGCCCTAGCTGAGCTGGGTTGTTATTGTCAGTCTCAGCACCTCCCAGGTCCCGAGGCAGGGGTGGGGACAGGTGGAGGCCAGGTCCAGGGATAGCAGCTGGCGGGTCTCTGGCTCCGGGGCCACGACTCCTTAACTCACTGGCCCCTCCTAAACTCCAACTCATTGACCACCAACCTTGCGGGACCCCCAGACTCCACAACTGGTGTCTTTCTCCTTGCAGCCCATCCCACCCTTGGGTCTTGCGTCCACCCTTTGAAGTCTTCAGAGGCCCAATTAGACTAGGTGTAAATTGCTGTCTTCTCCTCTCTCACCATCGCCACCACACTGGCCTCTCCAGCCATCCTCCCTGGACCACAGAGAGGAGGGATGGGGGAATTCCAGTATTTGGAGGGGAGAATCCTGCACCCTCTTCTGGTGTCTCTCTGTGAGATCTGTAGGGCCTCTTGGGATCCTGAGTCCAGAGGCCCCAGGGTAAGACAGACACAAAGTTAAGAGGCCAATAAACGCCACTGGGCTTTTAAGAGAAGAGGGGAAGCAGCTTTATTGTTAGGCTTTTTATATACCAACTCTTAGCTCAAGGGCTCTGCATGTGTGTTTGGTTTTTGTGGTGAGGATGGGGTGGGCATTTGTGGGGAAGTGAATGGGGAAGAGTGGGAACAGAGGAGGAAAAGGAAGTTCAGGGGGAAAGACAGAGATCACTGTAAGAGGTGGGAGAGTTTACCCACTCAGAGCTCACCCAAGGAGGGGGAGATGTCCCACAGCGTGAACCTGGCACTCACACCCATGTTTTTTCTGCGCACCCTAGGATATAAGGAAGACGTGGAGGCGGTGAGTTCCACACTTACTGTTTTCTTTTTCCTTTCCACTACCTGCAGCCATATCCCTCACTGCCCTACTGGGCCCACATCTTTATTCCCACTTACCAATGGGTTTTCTGGGGTGTAGCCACACCTGTTTCTGTGAGAGTGAGTGGGTTAGGAGTTGGGGTATCCGAATCAGCATCAGAAAATAGAGGGGTGCTAATTACTTCCTGACCCTTCCCCCCACCTGTCCAGATTCGATGTCCCAACACCCAAGTCATCTAACACAGAGGAAGATCTCCCTGAAGATTACCCTGTGGTCAAAAACATGCTTCACAGACTGACAGGTGAGGAGGGAAGACTGACAGCCTGTACTCTGTTTGCTCCCTTTCAGAAATGGTCAAGTTAGGCTGGGTGTGGTAGTGCACACCTTTAATCCCAGCACTCAGGAGGCAAAGGCACTGTGAGAATGAAGTCAACCTAGGATTGTCTACATAGCAAGCTCCAGGCCAGCTGGGGCCACATAGTGAGGCCCTGAAATAATAATAATAATAATAATAATAATAATAATAATAATAATGTCAAGTCCTTTTGGTATCATATCCGTTTCCTAGGACTGCAGTAACAGAGCCACAAACGAGGTAGCTCAAGCAACAATACAAATTTTCAAAGTCTAGACACAGAAGCCTGAAATCAAGTTTGTTCTGAGGGCTGGGGAGGGACCTGTTCCATGCCTCTCTTGGCTTCTGGCAGCCGCTGCACTGCGTTGGCCCTCAGATGGTCCACATGGACTTCCTTCTGCATGCCCTTCTTTGTGTCAAAGTGTCCCCTCCCCCACGTAAGGTAGCAGCCATACTACATTAGGGCCCACTGCAATGATCTCATTTTTAGCTTACCTCTGTGAAAATCTTTTTCCAAATAAGGTCACTTCAGAGAAAATGCCAGACAAAATTCAGACTCTTTTTAAAAAATGTGGGGAGGTACCTCCCTATGTTTTACTGGCCTGGAACCCCAGATGCTCCTGTCTTGTCTCCCAAGTGCTGGGATTACAGGTGTGTCACACCACATCTGGCCAGGGGCACAATTTAGCCCAGAATATCCTTAATTCTTCGTATCCCCGCCACTTTTCTTCCTCCATTGTACATCAAACACCTGCTGTCAGGAATCCCTGCCTCCATCCCTCACTGTGCTCTTCTCAGGAAGGGTCCTGAGCTTCCAGAATCTCCTGCAACTTTCTTGCCTGCCTACTCCCAAAGTGGCTGCCCACCTTCCATAAAGTGTCTAGAGATGCTCCACCCCTAAATCGCCCATTATCCCATTTAATCTGGATTGCTTCCAGCTCCCTAATCCAGAAGTCTTTCCTCAAAACACCCTATACCTACAGGGGTCAATGGCTCTTTCTGGTCCCTTTGGCAATCTCTAGGGGCCTTTCCTCTGGGCACACCCCCTATAGAATGGGTCTGTCCACTCCCACCTGTGTGGAGGGTGAGTGGCTGGTTTTACAAGATATCTTGGATTCCTTCCTTTTGCCTCTCGCTCTGTCACTCGGGTTTCGGTATCAATCGTTCTCAGTCCAGCCAACTACGGCTCCCAGGGCTCCCACGCCCCACCCAGATGCTGCAGATGCAAGGATTGCCCTCATTCTCTCCTAGAAAGACAGCCAGCTTCTCTTCCTCCACCACCACCAACCAGACAGCCTCTTCTTTGATCTCTGCGCTGTGTCTTGGGCCCTGAACTAGCATGGTCCTTGCCCAAGTCCAGTTCCACTAAAGGGTGCATCAGTGCCCAGGGTGGCCTGCCCTGTACCTTCGTGGGGTCTCCAGCCCCGGCTCTCCTATGCGCACTCCAGCTCCCGAGGCAGAATCCTTACGCTGTGCTCTCCTCCTCCCCCTCCTCCAGAGGACCTGACCCTGGACCCCCGCACAGCCCATCGTCGCTTGCTCATCTCCTCCGACGGGCGTGCTGTCAGCCTGGCCCCACCCGGATCGCCCGCGCCCTTGGATGACCCCGCACGCTTCAACCAGCTGCCAGCCGTGCTGGGCGCGCAGGGCTTCGCGTCCGGCCGCCACTGCTGGGAGGTGGAGACGGCGGAGGCGGCGACCCGCGGGGACTCGGCGACTGAGGACGCGGACGCGGGGGAAAGCAGCTACGCCGTGGGCGCAGCCGGGGAGTCGGTGGCGCGCAAGGGCCGCGTCCAGTTGTGCCCCGCCGAGGCCGTGTGGGCTGTGGAGGGCCGTGGGGGCCGCCTGTGGGCGCTCACGGGCCCCGAGCCCACGCTGCTGGGCACCGGGACCCCGCCGCGGCGTATCCGTGTGGACTTGGACTGGGAGCGGGGCCGCGTGGCCTTCTACGACGGTCGCTCGCTGGACCTGCTCTTCGCTTTCCAGGCCCCGGGGCCGCTGGGGCAGCGCGTGTTCCCGCTGCTCTGCACCTGCGACCCACGCGCCCCGCTGCGGATCGTGCCCGGGGAGGGCTGAGTCTGGAGCCAGCGCCAACCCAGGCCAGCCAGGCCCCTCGAGGCTGCTCCTCTGGGGTGCGGGAATCCCGTTTGAGTGACCGTATCAGCACTCCTATAGCAGGAGTGTAAGTAAGCAGCCTTACCCATTCTTTTTCCTAAAGGAAGACCTCAACTGGCCAGTAGGCTTGCACACCCATGCCCTGAGCCAGTCCAGTCCGGTCTCTCCAGAGTCCCAATGCTCTAACGGTAATCCTTCCCAACAGAGTTCTCTTTCTGCATCCTTCCATGCCTGGATGGAAAGAGGCTGTGACTGTACCATCAGTACTGGCAGTCTGTGTTTACTGCAGAGGGACCCACCCATCCCAAAGGCTCAGAGCCTGATCCACAGCTGGAGGGGCGGGGTGGGGGATGGTGGGCTGGTCCTGCTCCTGTCCAGTCAGGATTCCCCTTCAGAGAAACAAGAGTGTACTCCTAAAACAAGAGGGTTGACTAGTGACCTAAGGCCTCTGACTAAGCCTATACTTTTTTTGGGGGGGGGGTGGTGAGATGCCAGTTCTCCCTCTATCCTTTTAGGGCAGTTTTCTATGCTCACAGCCTTTTTTTATTAAACACCCTCTTAAAACTCCTTGCACATAAAACACTGGTGCTACACTACCTCCCTCCCTTCTCAACCTGGGTACAACCCAGACACCCTGTACAGTCTCCCATCCTCCCCATGTGTATAAATGGACCCGTATTTAACACACTGTATGATGTTGGGTTATTTATTTTGTGCATCTGTGGCAATAAATGAGAGTTCAATGGTGGCATGGGTTTGACTGATCTCTAAACTGTGCACAGCAGAGGCCTAGAGAACCAGGCCAGATCCCAGGAGGGTGGGGAGGGCTGAGAGCAAGACACCTGGCCTGGTAGAGACAGAGCCTAGGAAGGAAGGATAGGAGTGCACCAAAGGGACGTCAATGGTGGCATGGGTTTGACTGATCTCTAAACTGTGCACAGCAGAGGCCTGGAGAACCATACCCAGATCCCAGGAGGGTGGGGAGGGCTGAGAGCAAGGCACCTGGCCTGGTAGAGACAGAGCCTAGGAAGGAAGGATAGGAGTGCACCACAGGGACACCATGCCCTCCCCTATCTCTTTGCTCTCCCCCTCTCTCTCCTTTCAGGGACCCAGGCCCTTGGGCCAGTGACACTAAGCTCAAAGGTTCAAGGCTGAGAAGAGGGTTGGCTCTAAGTCACCAGCCTCAAGCCAGCTATGTCAGAAAACTTACATCCCATCAAAGGCTGGGATTCAGGACATGACTATTTTTGGTTTCACTTTCCTGTGTGGATGACAAGACCTCTAACTCCACGTGGGGTGGTAAGGGGTAACGAGGGAAGGGCTAGGAGCCAGATGGTCTCATAAGACCCTCTATCCCAGAGGCAAGGACTAAAATTTAAGATGACCTAACTGCGCAAATGGGAGAACTGGAAGCCAGGATTCACACGCAGAGCTGGGTGCAGGATTGCCTGGAATCTGACTGGGACCCTGGCAGTGAAAGCTGGGGCGGTTGGAAACCCAGTGTCAGTGCTTGGGACTCAAATTGAGGGTGCAGGCAGCCCAGGTAACTGGATCCTAGGACAGGCAGTTTGGCAGTGAGAACAGGAACAGACTGGGACCAAGATGCCTGGATCCTCAGCAAGAGGGAAAACAGGAAGAATGAGGGCTGGGGGAACCCAGAAGCCTGGGTTCTGGAACAGCAGCAAGTCAGAACTCCAGGGTCTCTGTCCACCCTCCTCTTCCTCTTCTCTACCAGGCAGAAGAAAGGGAAGGAGGGGGTTAGAGAAGGGATCAGACCATGGGTTGAGTTCCCACGTAGCCAGATGGATACATGGGGGGCCAGGCAGACACAGGAATAGTGAAGGAGAGGGAGTTAGTGCTGCATAGGTCCTGGAGGGGGCTGGGAGGGGTCAGGAGGCTGGGGAGGAGTGGTCGGGGTTGGTCCTGGGGTTGTGTGACGCCGTCCTTTGCGATGACCCCGTACGCAGTGTGTGTGACCACAGCCTTCTTCTTCCTCCTCCTCGCTCTCGGTGGAGCTCTCACCAAAGGCCCGAGGTTTCTCATAAATACAGCAGCCTGGGTGTGGAGGAAGGCCAGTCAAAAAACAGGAATCCACTGTTCAGTCAGTTACATTCCCATCAGAGCTCTGTGAAAATTTTCAGTCTTCCCCTGCCTTCAACCCCAGGGACTGGGGCAGTCACTGTCCTTGTCCCTTCAGAGTCAAGGACTGGAAGATCCCTCCCCCCACTCCTGTCATGGCTTGCCTTTGGGCCCTGGCACCTCAGTTCTAGCCCCACCACTACCTCTCTTTTCCCTGAGAACCAAGAAAGTGAGGAGTTGGTAAGCACACATGAGGCCAGCTGACATGGGATGGTGGAAGGCTCACAGAGAAGCCAGCAGGCCAGGGCTGCCCCGGCTCAAGCACTCACATTTTGATGAACGGCGCCCCATGTGTTCATTGTCCACAGTGTCACTTGTCCATTCCACCTTTTTCTCTGGCTTCCGCTTCCGCAGTTTAATAGTTAGGCTCCGATTCTCCTGCAAGGGCAAGAGGTATGGGCAAGAGGTATGGGCCCGGCTGTCTAATCTCTGCACCTTTCCTATTTCCTCCCAAGGAACCTCCTCTCTTCTCTTCCTCAGCCCAGTCAGCACCACAGACAGCACTGGAGGGGCTGGTGCTGGGAGGAGACAAAGTAGGAACAGGTCTTCAACCTAGGTCATGAGGAGCACCATTTCCTGTTCCTGGTAACTACTGTAGTGCAAAAAAGACAACTCCTAACCTAGGGGAGGTGCCAGCAAGTCTTCAAAGGAAAAGAGAATCCTTGAGCCTCTCTGCCTTCCTTCCACATCATCCTTGGTGGTATTAACACATGAAAATTATTTTCTCATTCCTAGTAACTGTCTTTCATCTCCCTCGCTTTTCCCAGACCTCTTAATCCCAGCACCTGGAAGGCTGAGGCAGAGGCTAGCTTGGGCAATTTGGTCAAGCTCTGTCTCAAAAAACCAAAGCAAGGCTGGGGAGATGGCTCATTTGGTACAGTGCTTGCCCTGCAGGCAAGAAGAACCTGAGTTTCATCCTCAGAAGCCATGCAAAAAGTCAGGTGTGGTAGTGCATGTTTGTAATTCCAGTATCAGGGAGGTGGCAGCGGTGGGCAGATTCCTAGGGCCTGCTGACCAGCAGCCAAGTGTAAATTGGTGAGCTTCAGGAAAGTGAGTCTCAAAAACAGGTAGACAGTGCCTGAGAAATAACACCCCAGGTTCACTTCTGGCCTATGCACATGTGCATTCGCGCGCGCGCACGCGCACACACACACACACACACACACACACACACACGCAAGTTCACTTCTGGTCTACACACACACACATACGCACACAAACAGAACAAACCCCCTCCCCCTTTAAGGAAAGTCTTCTCATCATCAAGTCCAGTGCTCGCTCCTATCCACTTCTTCCTTTAACATCCTGGCACCTCTGCTAACATTACTAAACTTCTGGACTACCTCAATCCGGGCATTATTAATCTAATGCTTCCTTCTCCCTCTGAAAGCAATTTACCCCCGTTTTTGCAAACAATCCGTGCCCATTAGCTTCTCTCTTCTGACCTCTCTACCTTACTGTTTCGTGTTCTCTTTACTCTGATACTCATCCCCTCCATAACTATGTAGACTAAGGGCGCTTGCCAAATTCCTTTATATTGGTCCCCACCCATGTTTCCCACAGGGCCCTTCATTCCCTCCTAGCATCCTCCCAGCTCCTTGACTCAGTTTCCCTAAATTGTCTGCCCTGACCACCGCCCCAAGCACGGGCACTGCACCCTAACAGCGCTCCGGATCACTCGCTCCCTGCCCAGCACTGCACCGTCTGCCCCCGTGCAGTGTCCCGACCCAGTCACCCACCCTCCCAGGCCCTCGACTTTCCAAAGCCCAGCCCTCCCTGCCAGCCCCTCCCAGCCCTCGGCAGCACCGCCCCCCGCCCTGCTCACGGGCTCGGTTGTCACGGTAACCGTCGTCTCAGTGACGGTCTCGCTCAGGCCAGCCCCGGCCTCGGCCATGGCGGACGGCCTGGCCCTTCTCCGCGCCCCCGCGGTCCGAGAGGACGGGTCTCCGGTGCAGAGCAATGGCCAGGACCCCCGACCTTCTTCCTCCCCCCTCCTCCTGGCCTCCGTTTCCCCACCCCTGGGAATAACCTGTCCAACCCCACTTCCGGCCTTGCACTTCCGGGTGTGACGCAGCTGCGGTACCACATTCCTCGTCACCATTTGCGCCAAAGCGCAGGCGTCGCCATTAGTTCCGCCGTACTGCGACAGCGCGCAGGCGCCGCACGCTGGGCGGAAGTGACGTCAGGGGACGGAGGCCGACGGACCCTGCGGGTGGTGTACTCAGCAAAGTTGCTAATACAGCTGCTTCAGCTGGTTAATTCTGGGTGGAAAATTGGTGCCATAGGGACTCCAAGGCCAGTTCTTGTTTCCGGAAGTGGAACGCAGGAATCAAGAATCAAGGGGCTGGAGAGATGGCCCAGGGTGAAGCGCACGGGCTGCTCTGGCAGAGGACCAGGGTTCGGTTTCCAGCACCCACCTGGCCCTTCATTGGGCCCTTCATTTCCCACAGGGCCCTTCACTGGGCGGCTGACAACCTTCCGTAACTCCAGTTCCAGGGGATCTGAGCCTTCTGACCTCCGTGGGCATTGCATGACACAGGTGCGCTTACGTACACGCAGCCATACACTCATATACAGTAAAAAAAAAAAAAAATCACAAAATGTGCAATCTGGGTAGGTATTGGAGGTCGGCACTTAGTACATGCGCCTCGAGTTTTCCTGGTTGTGGCGGTCATAAGAAAGGCGAGGCACACACACAGACCTTTGAACTCCCAGTGAGAAGGCGTGTGTGAAGCTGATGTTCGGTAGTGGGGCGTTTGCACGGGTCTGGTCTGAGCTGAGTTCTGTACGACCAACATACGCTCTGGGGTGGAAAAGAACAAATGACGATCCAGGCCATTAAGGAGACGTGCTGGCACAACGTGGCGGTGCACGGCTGGGGTGGGCTAAGGAGGCGGGAGCCCGAGACTTCACGGCAGGCCTTACAGAGTGGACAGCACGAACTCCAGACCAGCCTGGGCTCCATAAGAGACCCTGTCTCAAAAAGTCAACTGGGCTGGAGGAAGCAGCAAATTCAGATACATCTGTTACATTTTGTGTTAAATCTTCCACTATCTACCCAAACCCAGCTTTCGTTTCTTTACACCGAGGAACCAGCTTTAGACAGGAAATGTCAGTAGCTTCTGTCAGCCTCACTCCTAACCATTATTTTGTCCTTACAGTTTTTCTTTTTTATGCATACCTCTATGAGCTCATTCAGATTCGCTTTAGAATAAGATTACTGTTTTTGGTTTTTAGACTTCTTGTTATGGAGCTCAGCTGGCCTCAAACTTGGATCCTCTTGCCTTTACCTTAGTGCTGGCATTACAGGGCATGTACCACCAATCTAACCAGAGTGACAGATTATAAATAACACACATATATGTCAAGGTTTTGTAGAAAAAATATAACTTTAATAAACAGCTAAGGAAGGGCCATTTTATTCTCAGAACAGAGGAGGTGGAGAGGGCATCTAAGAACCAATCTTCACTTTCCAACAGAGGAAGCTGTGGTTGAGTGGCCCAGGAGAAAGATCAAGAATCTTCCTTTTCTTGAAACCTATGGAAAAAGATAGGGCTTGTTACATTCAGGGAATTCCTAGCAGTGTAAGAAGAGGTATTAACCAGTGAAGGACCTTTACCAAGTTGAGGGTGGGCTTCCCCAAACAATCCAACTCTAACCTCAAAATAACCCAAAACACTGAGCTTAACAATGTATCTAATATTCCCTTGAAGTAGCAAAGGTTTCCTAGGATAGAAAAACACTAGCCAAAGGGGGAGAAAAAAGATAAACTGGACCTCATAAAAATTAGAAATTTTAGAGCTGGACAGGATGGCACATAGCTATAATCCCTGTCCTCAGGAGGCTGAGGCAGGAGGATTGCTAGTGAGATGCCACCCAGGACCACACAGTGAGATTTCGTGTCCAAAGCAATCTTTTAAATGTTTGCTCACAGAAAAGAATGCAAATAAAACATGCCACAGACTGGGAGAAAAATATTTTGAGAATGTTTGTGTTTTGAGACAGGGTCTCCCTGTCGGCCCAGCTATTCTGGAACTTGCTATGTAGACCAGGTTGGCCTCCATCTCACAAAGGTCCACCTGTCTCCTTCCCTAATGCTGGAATTAAATGTATGTGCAATCACACATGGCTGGAAAAAATATTTTGAACAATATATCTGACATAAATTTTTTTAAGCTTTATTTTTCATGTATGAGTTGTAATGCCCTCATGTATGTAAAGTGTACCTGTGTCATGCAATGCCAGGGGAGGTCAGAAGAGGGTGCTGGATCTCCTGGAACTGGAGTTACAGCCGGTTGTTAGCTGTCATGTGGGTGCTGGGAACTGAACCCCTGTCCTCTGCAAGAGCAGCCAGAGCTCTTAACTGCTGAGCATCTCTCCAGCCCCAACTCAGAAACAGTTTTAAGCTATTCAGGAAAAGGCTAAGTAAATGCAATCTTCACACTTGTTAAAGATGTAAAAGGCAGATGTGATGCTGCACTGTTTGTTGTAATCCCAGCAACTTGGGAAGCTGAGGCAGGAGGATGAGCCTGACGCTAGCATGGCCTATGGCCTGTAGTAAGACCATCTCAGCCCCACAAACGCTGAGAATACAGCACTCACTCAGGCCTTCAAGAATTCCCATAGCCTAAGTTATAAAAAATTTTGTTTACAGTCAACAAAAAGTGCTGTGAGAGTCAGCAGAAAATAGACCACATCAGACCCAAAGTGCAGTATATAAACATGCTTAATGTATCTAATATACATTTAAAGAACAAAAGGAGCAATTTAAAACAAGTAATGAATGGGTTGGGAATTGTTAAAGGGGATTCACAAGGTTTGAAAAGATAATTAAGTAGAACTCAATAAAAATAATTGAGGGGATGCTTGCTGGTAAAGTGCCTCTGAACATACATGGGGACCTGAGCTTGGATCCCCAGCACCCATGTAAAAAAACAAAAGCACTGGGTGTGGTGGTCTATATCTGTAGCCCCAGCTTAACCAGGGCTGGCAGATGGGGGACAACACAGATGGGAGTGGTGGACCCCTGAAGCTCAGCGGCCAGTCTTAGCCTGCCTGGGCTCCAAGTTCGGGAAGACAGTGTCTCAAAAATTAAGGTGGAGGAAGGTGTGGTGGCACACACCTTTAATCCAGCACTCGGGAGGCAGAGGCATGCCAATTGTGATCTCTGTGAGATTGAGGCCAGGCTGATCTACATAGCAAGTTCCAGGACAGCCAGAGCTACAGGGAGACCTTGTCACAAAAGCAAAACAAAATTAAGGTGGAGACAGACTTTCCATGAAGACATTCAAAGCCAATCTCTGGCCTCCACACCCACAGATGGATATACCACACACACAAATACATTGAAGACAGAATTAGTGACCAGGAAGAGAGATCTGGAGAAATTACCCAGAAGACAGCATAAAGAGAAAGGGGAGGGGTCTGGAGAGATGGCTCAGCAGTTAAGAGCTCTGGCTGCTCTTGCAAAGAACCCGGGTTTGGTTCCTAGCTCCCACATGGTGGCTAACAACCATCTGTAACTCCAATTCCAGGGGATCTGATACCCACTTCTGACCTCCACAGGCATTACAGGACACAGGTGCATTTACACACATGCAGGCAATACATTCATACACATAAATTTTTTTTAAAGAGAAATGGGAAGGAAAATATGGACGATGAGAAATGAGGAGGTCTAATAAACGATTTGAGAACACAGGAGCCAAGCAATACTGAATGAAATGACTGATAATTTTTCAAGGTTGATGAAAGATGAATCAAGTCTGGGCTTCAGAAAGTCTAATAAGGGGTGGGGCATGCAGGTCAGTTGGTAGAGTGCTTGCCTGGGACTCAGGAAGCTCTGCTGTATCCCCAGCACAAGAATCAGCTGTGGTGGGGAACACCTGTAATCCCAGCACCGGAAAGGTGGAGGCAGGTGGATCAGATGATCAAGGTCATCCCTGGCCACATAGCAAGTTCCAGGCCAGCCTGGACTACATGAGACTCTGTCTCAAAAAAGAAAGAAAGTCTAAAATCCTAAACAGGAGAAAGAGGGCTCAGGGCCTATCTGAGTTGAGAAACTGCCTAGCATGCTTGAGGCCCCGGGAAGAAGGAAGACAACAGAACCCACAGTCGGTGTCCTGATGTCCTGTGAACAAAGCATGTTTCAAGCCATTCAGAGCCATGCTCTTGAAATCATGCAGGAACATGTCTTCAAAGTCACAGCAATATCCATTTCCTGTTTTAAAATTTCCTTTCAAATACCTAAAAAAAAAAAAAAGGTCTCCGTGTAGCCCAGGCTGGCACCTCCTTTGGGACCTGTTACTACAGCAACTCCCCTTAGAAACATCTTAAAAGGTTAGTTCTCTGGCTATACAAAGGGCCAGAGTGTAATTAAAAAAAAAAAAATCAGACAGGTGTGGTGGCACATGCTTGAATCCTAGCACTCAGGAGGCTGAGACAGGACAGCTGCCTAACTGTAGGCATGGTGAGAGTTCAAGGCAGGCCTGGGCCACACAGTGAGATCCTATCTCAAAAATTCAAAACGAATAAATAATAAATGAAAACTTAAAAGGCTGAAAATCGCACTATTAGGGATGGATCTAAGGAAACAATTCTTAGTGCAAGACTGTACTGCTTGAAAACACTGGAAGGGGGGGCACCCACTTGCAGTTAACACAGGTATAGAAGACAGTCTGTCCTTCATCTGCTGAGCGCATCTGTCTGGTATGGTAGGCCATTCCTTCATGACCACATCGAGAGCACCGCCTGTCAATCTGGGAAGAAGCAGGCAGGTGATGGAGGCCTAGTCAAAGGTTACAGCTTCCCACAGAAGTTAGGGTGTCACACCCTTAGGACACCCTCGGTCTAAAGCCTCCCCTTGAGTCTTGGAATGGGGTGCAAAGCTCAAGCCTGCGCTATCAACCCTCCTTACATCACCATTGTCCCATGGAGCCAGTGCCCTTCCAGTAGGACTGTCCTATGGAGTCAGCACCCCTCTAGAGTCACCGCAATCCCATGGAGCCACTCCCCTCTTACGTCACTGCTGTCCTATGGAGCCAGCATCCCTCTTAATGTCACCGCTGTCTATGGAGCCAGCGTCCCTCCTACGTCACCACTGTCTATGGAGCCAGCGTCCCTCCTACGTCACCACTGTCTACGGAGTCGGCACCCCTCTTATGTCACTGCTGTCCCTTGGAGCCTTGTCCACTCACCACTGGTCCCTGGGACTCCGGGCCTTCGTCCGCGGACACAGGCAGAGCTGTCCCCAGTGTGCGGAGCACCACCGATGTCTTCACCACCTTCCCTTCGAAGTCTGCAGAGCACGAGCTCGGTGGGGCGGACCTGGCAGTCCCACTCCGCCCATCCCGCGCCCCGGGGCCCCGTCCTTCTCCCGGTCTCTCCAGTCCAGCTCCCCTCCCGGCCGGGTCCCCCCCCTGCCCACCCTGCCCCGGGGGACCAGAGCTCACCGCGCACGGGGATGGAGAAGCCGCAGCGAGGGCAGACGACTGCGTCCTGAGTCCCGGGCAGCGGCAGCACTGAGCCGCAATCCGGGCAGAAGTCCAAGTCCGACAGGAACGTGGAGCACGGGCTGGACAGCTCCATGCCGACGACGCTGGGAAGGGAGTTAGGAGGAGTCTTCCCGCGCGGTCCCAAGCGGACACCCGGAGCCGACCTCTCACTGGGTGCTCCGGCTGCTGCAACCGGAGAGCGGAACCCCGGGCTGGGGACGCACGCTGGAGTCGGCGAGAGGGGCTATGCCGCCCGCGGGCTAGAGCGCTCGACCGCTAGGCGCGGGCCAGCGAGTACCTCTCGTGGGCTAGAGCGCCGAGAAGCAAGACGCAGAGATATCAGTACTCCTAGACGACTAGAGTGCGCCACCGCAAGACGCGGATCAGCGAGTTCACCTAGTGGGCTAGAGCGCCAGGCACCGAAACGTGAGGCAGCGAGTAGTCCTGGAGGCTAGAGCGCCCCATCTCGAGACGCGGGCAGCGACTACGCCTAGCTGGCTAGAGCGCCCGATCGCGATGGGTGTGGCAGCGACTACTCGTGGAGGGCTAGAGCGCCCGATCAGGCACATAGTCCTCCTGGCGGGCTAGAACGACCAGGCGGGCGAGAGCCCCGATACCGCCAGCGGGCTAGAGCGTCGAATCCGGGGCCAGCGAGTTCGCCTGGTGGGCTAGAGCATTCTCCGCCCCGCTATCAGCTGGGCGTGACGTCACAATTAATGGCGCACTTCACCAGAGGGTTTGAGGGAGGTGGCCGTACTTCTCCGAAAGGGAAATTGCGGCTGCACGTTCAACCCGGCACTGTGACGTCCAGTAGGAAAAGGAGGGGCCTGCGTTGGAGCTGCGGCCGCTGTCTCCTCGACCCGGCCTGGGACATGTCCTTTTGCCCGGCGTCTGCAGAGCCCGGGCTCGTAGGTCCCCTAGAACCGTCCCACGTTCCCCACACCCCGATTCCGTGGATTAGGAGCTCCAGCTCCCGGGTTACGGTCGGGTATGTCTCCTGCGACTGCGCAGTGGCTGACGGCCGAGCTGAGAGGCATCCTTGGGTCCTGGCCGGCTGGGGCCGCTGCCCTGACTTCCTCTGAGCGGACCTGGGCTCTGGAGGGGGTGGAGGCCGAGACCCCGGGAAGAGTCTAGGAGGAGGCGGACACAGATGGGGCTCGTCCCTCCTAGGACGGGTGAGGGAGGCGTCCGTCGACCTAAAGCGTCTCTATTAGGATTCCCAGGAGGTAGATCTGGCCGTCTTCCGGACCGCGGACCTCCTTCCTCCCCTCACGCCTCATGCACCAGCTCTACACCCTTGTCGTCCACCAAGTCAGCAGAGGACATTTCCTTAAGCTTTCACACAACCAAGAGTCATAGCCTTAGAAAACCTTGCTGTTCGTCCATCTGTAGCCTGAAGGATCCCCCTATTAGATGAGCTTCAGCCCTCGACAGCCCACTTATTGCCCCGAAGCCTTTTCATATTAAAGGTCAGGACTCGTGACTTTTTCCGAAGGACACAAGCTGTACTCTTTTCCTTGGGAGAGATTCTCATCTGTCCTCACTGCAATTAACACAAGACAGAATTGGGGGAGAGAGGAGCTGGAGAGATGGCTCAGGATTAAGAGCACTGTCTCTTGCAGAAGGCCTTGGTTCGATTCCCAGCACCCACAGCATACCGTCCATAACTCCAGTTCCAGGGGATCCGATGCCTTCTGACCTAAGGGGCATTGCACGACACGGGTGTACTTACATACATGCAGGCAATACACTCATACACATAAAATTTCAAAAATATTTTTTAAAGTTGGGGGTATAATCCTCTGCAAGATGGGGAAGAGGACAAGCCCCGTAATTTCATTTAGGGATGAAATGGTGTCATTTTGTTGGTCTCACAAAGCTCTGTTACTGGGCAGTGATATCAGGATGCTTTTTATTTTTACTGCTCTGTGTCTTCTTTCAAAATAGAGAAATTAGCTGCACTTTCCCTTTAGTTTGGTGCATTCAGCACACTGTGGTTTGAATACTATCCTAACACAGTGAAGGAACCCAGTGTAAAGGATGATGCCCTTTTCTAACCAAAGCTCACACTGTCCACTGAGCTGAGACTGCGGCTGCATAGTTGACGTCTGTTCTCTAATCACAAGTGAATAATTCAAATACAGAGACTGCACTAGTAGCTGCCTGAGCCAGGGGTATAAAACACATATGCTTGTAGATTTCAAGGAAGACAGGTGCATGCTTTAGTAAAGATGCAGTGTGCCCAGTGTGGGTTCATGCCTGTATCTGAGCACTAGGGAAACTGAGGCAGGAGGATTGTGAGTTTGGACTGCAGATCAAGTTCCAGGCCAGTCCACTATGTAGCAAAACCCTGTTTGTACAATAAAATGAGGGTTGTTTTGTTTTGAGACAGGGTCTCCCTATAGCCCCAGCTGTCCTGGAACTCACTATGTAGACCAGGCTGGCCTTGAACTCACAAAGATCCGCCTGTCTCTGCCTCCCGAGTGCAGGGATTAAAGGTGTGCACCACCATGCCTGGCTTAAAATGAGGTTTTTATGTGGGGACAGAACCCTGAACTAGCAAGCACTCTACCACTGAGCTAAATCCCCAACCCCAAGACAGATCTGAAGGAGAAAAACATGCTGAGATGCTGTGTGGTGAAGGTGATCTTGACAGTAAGAAATGTGAGACGGGATCTCAGACTAAGGTTCAGTACTGCACTAGATGCTTTTGCAAGATAGGAGAGTAAGATGGGGTTTGTTTTTGTGGCTGTGTGTGTGTGTGTGTGTGACAGGGTCTCTGTAGCCCAGACTGACCTAGAGCTCAGTATGTAGTCCAGGCTGGCCTTAAACTCATGGCAATTCTCTTGCGTCAGCCTCACAAGTACTAGGATTATAGGCATGAGCATCCCATGCCAACTCTGAGGTGATTGTTTTTATTTTTATGTCTATGAGTGTTTCCCTGGAACTGGAGTTATGGACAGTTTTTAGCTACCATATGGGTGCTGGGATCAAACCCAGATCCTCTGCAAGAGCAGCCAGTGGTCTTAACCTCTCCATCCCCATGATGATAATTTTAAAATTTCACACTATGTATAGGTAAGTAAGAATGTGTCTAAAATGTCAGTGAGTCCAAATGTTAGCTCCCAGACCCTCTCCAGTAGTACAAATGGCTCATTACATTTGTAGATAAGTGTTATGATTCAGACATAGCTAAGTCTAAATTTCAACATTATGTTAAAGATTATATATGAATATAGATACTATAATGTAAAGAATTACTGGTTTTAAACAAATTATAGAAACAAACACTTTGAAGATTGTAGAGCATGAGGAGTTACCTGCAAAGGGCGAGAGCTGACACTTACTGAGTCTGTGAGTCCCTGGCCACCCTCAAAGCCTTTGCTTTTAACTGTAAATGGTGTGAAGGTCATAGAGGTATACACCAGACAGCCTCAGTAGCTTAAATATGACCGCACAGTAAACTCAAGTCAGGCCAGGACTGGCACATGAGCTGAAAGTCCTAACTTGTGCTGCATCAGCCTGCACTGTAAACAAACCTAGAGGGCCACAGAGTCTCACCTGGAGGGTTCCACAGGGAGTAGTCTCAGGATGGATTTAGAGTGAAGGATGCTTGGTAGCCTAGGTCAGTCAAGCTGAGGGGCTGGAGGTCAAGTGGGAGTAAAGTTTCAGAACAAAACAGAACAGAGATGCTATACATGCTGATCGAGGCATAGAGGGCCTGGCTGGGCAGAGCACAGAAAAACAGCGAGCTGGGGAAGCGAGAGCGAACCATCTCAGAAGACAAGAGAGGCGCTGAGACCAGGCTTGGGCCTCCCTCCAAGGTACCTGGTTTGTCCTTCTGTCAGTCCAGGATAAAAGACTCAGAGTGGTTCAGGTTGAATCCCCAGGAGAAGTAAGCATTTGAGTCATATGAAAGGAATGGGTTCATTATCCTCTACCACAGGAAAGCGTGTGTTTATCAAGGAAGGGCTGTGCTCGCTCTTGGTCAAAGCAATCCATTTCCTTGCTGGGGTGATATATGAGCTGACATATTCTAACCTGCCTTTACTTTTTGTGTTCCAGATTCACTTGGGCAGAAGCATCTAGAGACCCTCAGGTTACAACAGGTCACCTATCGAGAAAAGGATCCTGGTAAACACATTGGCCTTCACACCATACAGTTTGGAGCTACTCCAAAACGGAATCTTAAGTTTAAAATCCTTCTGCCCAGTTGGCACTTTGAGGCAGTATTTCTTTTTTATTTTTTTTTTAATTTTATGTGCATGAGTATATTGCCTGTGGGTGTGTAAGTGCAGCCATGTCATGCAGTGCCCTCAGAGGTCAGAAGAGGGCATCAGATCCCCGAGGACTGGAGTTAACAGATGGTTGTTAGCTGCCATCTGGGTGCTGGGAACCGAACCTGGGTCCTCTGCAAGGGCAGTCAGTGCTCTAACCACTGAGCCGTCTCCCCAGCTGTGAAGCAGTATTTCTGTAGCAGCAGTTTCCATTGTTAACAAAGTACCCCAGCACTGACTTTCAGAACCATATGTTTTAAAAGTAGTTACTCTTTGATGGTGGGTACTTTGTACTTTCAGAACCACCAGGCTTGCCTGGGCACGTGGGGAGTGCAATTAAAACTGTTACTCTGAAGTAAAGAACAGGGGTCTTTTAAAAATTATTTTTATTGGGGTTGTGGATTTAGTTCAGTGGTAGAGTGCTCGTCTAGCAAGCGCAAGGCCCTGGGTTCAGTCCTCGGCTCCAAAAAAAAAATTGTTTTATTTTATGTGTATGAGTGTTTCCCCTCCATGTATGTAGGTGCAGCATATGTGTGCAATGCCAGGAGAGGCCACAAGAGGACTTGAGGTCCTCTGAAACTGGAGTTATGCATGGTTGTGAGCCACCATGTGGGTCCTGGGAACTGAACCTGGGTCCTCTGCAAGAGCAGCTAGTGCTCTGACCACTGAGCAATTTCTCCGACCCACACACATCTTTTCTTAAGAGGAGTAGGCTCCTGTTTAAGGGTGTTGAAAAGAAAAGACGATTGTCCTACAATTCTGAACCTCCCTTTGACAGAATCTAGGTGGCTTCACACAACAGCGAGATGCTTGGTAACTCGGACCCACCGAGAGGAGACTAGAACCGTCTGCAGGGAGCAAGCGTGGTCCCTGGACTACTGGCCACTGCAGTCTTACTACAGCAAGAGAATAGTGGGAGGAGGAGAGATGACAAAGCAAAGATGAAGACTGAAGGAGAGACCGCACAAAGTGCAGGGGGACAGAGCAGCACTGCCGCACCCGAGAGGGAGGAGAAGCAGAGAGAGGGGCATCCTTAGGCCAGGCTAGCTGAGTTCAAGAACAGAACCTGAGACATCCCCGGCTCGTCAGCGGGGAGAAAGCGGTGCGGGAGCCAGAACAGGTGCAGATCAGAGACCACCAGGAGTGCATGATTCACAAGCCGGAGCTTCTAGAGCAAAGGCTCAAGGAAAGAATCCTGAGAGAAACCCAGAGCCACGCCCTCCCTCCCGAACCCAAGCGCGAGCCTCCGAAGAAGGACTTGAAGGAGTGTGAAAGGGTCCCTTGCCTACCCTCTCTTCAGCCCTGCAACGAGTGTCAGATTAAAGTGAGCATTCTCAGGGAAAGGTCTCTGGATGGAGAGGGGGAAGGCACAGTGACAAAATCTTACGGAAGAAGATTCTTGGCTGTGCTACCCTTTCTTAGAACTCAAATAGGAAAACGAAAACATCAGTAAAGTTTGAGTTTGGTAAGGAAATCGTGTTTCTTTTTTTAATATGTTTATATATATTTGCATTGACCTTTTATTTTTCAAAATTACTTAATAATATGATTAGAAGAAGCATTTCATTACATCATTAACATGTTCAATAACAATTTCCAGAGCAAAGATGCATCTCTTTCAAAATTGTAAATTTTTAGGGTCAGAGTTGAATTAATACAGTTATAAAATACTGAACGCAGTATAAACCCTATAAGACAGAAAATTGAGTGAGGTTTTAACTTTTAAAAAAAGATCTGCATTTCATTTTAAAATATACTGTTTCATACAGAAAAACTCATTTTTAATGCTACTAACAGTTGTTTTGCACATGCATCTCTAATCTCTATGTATCTGATTATTATTAGTCACAGTTTGTTACTTTCTGAGATCCTTGGCATCTGAGCATGTATATAAAATCCTCAGGTAGATTTTAATGATAGTGTTTCACCTCTACTAAATAACATGAAACAAATTTTTATGCTTCTTCCTCAAATATAACTCATTTTTATTTGTTGATTTTTTGTGTGTATTTTATACAGAACATGCCAAACAATCTTATCTATATACCCACTTCCCAAATGACACCCTCCCATAATCTCCCCCGATCCTACTGGAGTCCATATACTCTGTAATCCCTGTTACTGTCCACTGTGTTGTCGGCACCCCCAGCCGTTCTCCAGTGCTTGTCCATCCCCTGAATCTAGTTTTAAGAAGATCAGCTCTTCCTTATCTAGCAGCAAGCAGTTGCCAATATTCCTTTAGAAAAGATTGGGGTCTGCTGTTCATTTTCCAAGTTCTATGCTGAGTTATTGTTTAGGAGTCTATTGGGTCACCCTGGCTAACAAGTTACAGGAAGATGTCTCCTGTTTGGCATTGTTTCTTGGTATGTAGCCTTCATCTATATACACAGACTCTTAAAGAAATATACTGATCACTTTAAATTTTGATTATACTTTCCTTTTGGGTGTTTAAGACCCTAAAGTTGGCCCAGATTAACCGATTTAGTTTTACTCTTGAGGTCATCTGAGGATCTGTTCCTCAGGAGTCACATGGACTTGGGAGGAGCTCCTGGCTCCTTTCTTTTACCAGCTCCATTTATGTGAAGATAAGTCAAAGGTCCTGTTCAACCATGTCTGGCTTTACTTTGAGATGTTTCCTCTGAGTTGACCCTCCTCTTTGTAGACTGAACACTGGTTCAAGTTCATTGTAGGGTCTCCATGTCCTCCCTGAACGAGAGGACAGGTGACTCACCACAGTTACAGGACATTTTGAGAGATGCTCATAGTCCCCTGGAATTTAGGTGACCTAGGAGGGCAAGGAGCAAAAACTGTCTTTTATGTCCTTCTGACCAAATCAGTATAGGCCTCATAGTATGGCTGTTAAACGTCCAGGAAGTTTAGTTCCACCAGTATGGTACTTTTAATTACCGTGTGCCATGTAGATAAAGCTTGGGCAAAGACCAAACATTCTCAGATAAACTTTGCCTAGACATGTAGTTGTATGTATAATTTGTCAGTAGGTTGTTCGATTAATATGGTTCCCTCTGGTTTGTTGTTTTTAAACTAGCTAGGTGTTATTTATCTCTCACATTGTCTAACCCTTCCACCATGGGTTCCCCATTTAAATTGCCCATTTTTCCCATTTCTCCTTTACTAATCCCCTTCTCCTGTGGTCCCACCTCTCTTGAGCTCCTTCTTTCCCTTTATCCCCTAGGTTCCTTGTATACCCTTCCCTCCCCGCTCCCTTAAACTAACCCAATTTTTATCCATATCTCCCTTATTAAGGCCTATTTCCTACTGTTCTTCTCTTTCAGATTCTTTTCCTTTACCTCCTGGCTCCTTTTCATTGTCCTGGTTCCTGTAGTTACGTCTGGATACATCCTCACGTATCAGGATTTGGTGCTAGGATCCACAAATGTGGGAGAACATATGTCGGGTTTTTTGTTTGTTTGTTTGTTTGTTTGTTTGTTTGTTTCTGAGTCTGTGTTACCTCACTTAGTATAACAGTTTCTAGTTGCATCCATTTACCTGCAAATTTCATGATTTCATCTTTCTTTACTGCTGAGTAAAACTCCATCATATAAATGAACCACATTTTCATTATCCACTCATCAGTTGAGGGACACTTAGGTTGCTTCCATCTCTTGGCTATTGTGAAAAGAGCAGCAACAAACATGGATGTACAAATATTTCTGCAAGAGGATGAGTTCTTTGGGTATATGCGAATGAGTGGTATAACTGGATCAAATGATAAGTTCATTTGTGGTATTTTAAGAGTTCTCCACACTGCTTTCCATAGGAGTTGAACAAGTTTGCAG